ACTTATCTATACATGTTGAGTGCTTGTTACCGTTGTTAATGCTTTCAATTAATTGACCACTAATTGTATGATTGGAAGAATTGGGTTGAGACCGGAAGGAGATTCCTAGTAAAAAGCTTATAGTAACAAGTACCATAAATTACAGCCGACTCGGAAGATTAGGTTATGGTTTGTGTAATCTTCATTGTTTTCCACAAATCTTAATGGGTTCTTAGCTATCTAAATCCATAACTAGGACTAGAGTGGGTTGATGGTAAGGAATACAACTAATATAACTCGGAAGAGAGTATTGGTGAGGTAAGGGAAAACGATTATCAAAATGTTAGGTGATAAGGATTAACAAGCTAGAAGGATTTGGGCGGGATTAACTAGGTGAAATCGGTGCCCTAGTGCTTTATCATATTTGTTTTCATCTTTTACATTATTTACTTAATCTCAATTTATTTTACTTGCTTAATTATATTTTAATCATCATAATTCTATATTAATTTGAGCGATATTGTCCACTCGCAATTAATCACATCAAAGTGTTTGTGGGATTTAATTGTCATCGTGAGATTGCCATTTTTGTGGCAACATTGTTGTACGATGAGATTGCCAATTCATTTATATGGTTGTTTGAAACATTTTTAGAGGCCATGTCCAAGAAGGCTCTGAAAACCTTATTTACTGATCAAGATGCTGTGATGGCTAAGGCTTGTGCACATGTGATGCCTAATACATATCACAGGCTTTGCACATGGCAGATAATACAAAATGCCATGAAACATGTAAACAATTTATTTAGGTGCACACGTGGAGTTAGGAGCATTTTAACACAATTTACGGATTACTATGAGGAGGAAGATGAGTTCTTAGTTGCTTGGGATTCAATGTTGGCTGAATACAATGAGCGTGGACATCCTTGGTTAGAAAGCATTTTTTTTTCAAGGAAGAAATGAGCAATGACATACTGTAAGTGGTCTTGGTCTGCAAGAGTAAAAACCACACGGATAAGTGAAAAGTTTTAATACTACCTTAAAAGACTATTTGAATGTGGACCATGATGTGGTGCAGTTTTTCATGCATTTTGAAAGGGTACTTAATGATAAGCGATATAAGGAGTTAGAAGCAGAGTACGCTTTGTGTCTAAAGTTACCTAAAGTGACAATACTTGTTTCAATGGTGGTTAAGACAGGAAATATTTATACCAAAGCAATATTTGAGGATTTCCAAGCTCAGTATATCAAATCACTTGAATTAGACATGATATCTTGTGACGAAGATGGTGATGATTTGGTGCATACAGTTGTCCTACATGGTAACTCGAAAGAGCGACGTGTTAGAAAACAGAAAGATGGTGATGTCTCTTGTAGTTGTAGGTTGTTTGAGATGAAAGGTTTCTTGTGTAGCGTGCACTGAAAATTCTTACTAATTACATGAATGTCAAAGAAATTCTTGACTAGTATATCTTAAAAAGGTAGACAAGAAAAGCAAGATCTGAAAGTGTGAAAGATATGCATGGACGTGACATCCAGACAGATGTGACACTACAACAAACATCTCGATATAGGTCTTTATGTTCCATGTTTACCAAGATATCATCTCGAGCTGTTGAGAACGAAGAAACATATAAGATTTATGCTAGTCATTTGAATCAACTAAGCAAAACCATTGAAGACATATTAAGTTCAAAAATTAATGGTCAAGTACATGATAAGGATGGCCAAGGGTCACCTTCCACCATAGTGACAGATGGTGCTAATGAGGCATGTTTCTTGGATAGTGCAAAAGTTATCCAAGCAAAAGGATTAAAGAAGAGGGAAGCCTCCGGAGGAAGAAAAAGAATAAAAAGTTGTTTGGAGAAAAACATAGCTAAGAATAAAAATCATATAGTTCTCGTTCATCACAGGTATTTTCTTCTTTTACATTCAAAGTTCAATTCTAATATAATAATTTTGTATATTATGAACAAGTGCATCTCCAAATGCAACATTTAACAGATAATAACATATGTCATCCAACTACACATCTTGTAAGTATCATTTATTTAATTTTTGTTTTCATATCATGTTTCTAGTTTAAAATGTTACTGTAATACTGCATAGGCACAAGATCACGGGGCACCGAATACAATATCATGGATGCCTTACCTAGAACCCCAACATAGTTTCCAACCAGTACTTAACCTTACAAGTTTCCCTTTACAAGTTCAAGACTTTTTAAGTTTCAAATAACATTGTGTGGAGTCAGGTATATTAAGAGTTATAATATCCTTTTTATAAGTCATAGTAAGTTTTTTATTTATTATAATCAATTTTCATAACTACTTTATACAGGCTATGAACTTGTTGATCGATAAGCGACATACAACTTCAAATGTTGATCAAACTGGAGATGGCATCTGGAATCATGGGTATGTTATGCTCTTAGTAATACCGTTATTATTAATTTTTTTTATACGGGTCAATATATCAATAGGAATGCTTCCCAAAGAGACACAACTGTTCTTTCTTTTATTATTAATGTGTAAATTTATGTTTGTCATTTGTTTGATGGGAAGATTATAAATCTTTTGTCTTTATAAATACTTCTTCAATTCTATCTATTTCCTACATCCTTTCTTTTCTTTTCTCTTTAGCACTCTAGTTAGATAGATGATGGCATGATGGTTTATGCAAGGAGAGAAAAAAAGAGAGAGGAGAAAATGATAGAAAGAGATTTTTTTTTTTAAAAAAAAAGAAGAACAGAACAGAACATGAATAAGGAGAAAAAAAAATGTTGGACGTTAACTACTGTTAGTTGGGTGTTAGGGGTTTTTATTCTTTTTTAATTAGGAGTAAATTGAGTTTTTGTTTTAGGATGATGTGTCAACTTTTAAATCCGTTAGATTAAATTTTAATGAGGTGGCGTATGGAGAAAAAAAGTAAAGCAGATCATGACAGAGAAAATCAGAACAAAAGATCTGAATCCGTAAAAATATTAGCCAGATCATGACAGAGAAAATCAGAACAAAAGATCTGAATCCGTAAAAATATTAGCAATATGTGTAAGTTTAAATCAATATACCATATAAATACAATACAAACACCAAATTCATGAGGACATTGCGATAGACCAGGTGGAGGAGGGATAGGGATTGTGGTCTTTAAGATGGGTTCAAAACGACCTGGTGTCAAGTCTATCAAATTTTGGATTTATTAATGGCTCAGGTGGAATGGCGGCGATACGAAGAAATTTCGAGAAATGGTCAAGATTTTAGTAAATGCACACAAATGCACCCATAGTAAGGAAATTTCAATACCTGTGGCTTAGCCGCCAAAACCAAACAACCACTCACTCTTCCTTTATGGCAACAAGAGCTGCTAGGTTTAGAACTTCAGAGCTCAAAACTACAACCTCTTTTGAATTTTCATCTTGGAAGAACTATTTTTTGTTTCGTATTACATTTCTGACTGCTAATTTTTTCGTATGTAATTTGGTTTATCATTAATTGTTACTTTATTAAATCATTTCTAGAGCTAAAGCGAGTGGAAGCGTGTTCTGATGAAGGCATTTTTAGGGTTTGAGGAAGAATCAACAGATTATGTCTGTTAGTCCTTTTTCGAACTCCTCCGTTCCTTTTCGCCACCCGCAGTAGATCGTTGGATCAACACCAATGCCCCGATCGGATGGTGTCTCTTGGCTCGCAGAAAGGATTCCTTCAATTTTTGAACAAAATTGAAAGTTGAATCAGTTTGCCAAAGCTAGTGGGCCTGGTCGAGGCCCTATCCGTCAACTTTTTTCAACACTAATTTGCAGTGTTGCGTAGGCATGCCACTATTGGGTATAAAACCATCCCAATAGATCTGGTTTGAATGCTTGTGAATGGTTAACTTAATGTTGCGCGTCATTTATGAACTTCTTTGCGAGCCATTATGCTCCAGGGGGGTACTGGCCTGGATTGATTCTTTTCTATGCCTCAATCAAGAGGACTGACAAGTATGAGCGGTACCTGAACACGCAAGAGAGAGAGAGAGAGAGAGAGAGAGAGAGGCCAAGTTTTTGGTTAGTAAGACCCTATTTGGGTTTTATCAACGGGTCTCAATATTTTGTCATCCTCTGGCTGGATTAACAGTTAATTCGTGCCCAGTGGTGTAATTTGGGCCCAACTCAACTTCCTATTCCTTTTGTCCTTTACTGTTTCATTCCGGCCTCTGTTCACTTTCGAGCTTGAACGCTATGGACTTTTTAAAGGGGAGAAGGCGGGAATCCAATTTTATGTACTAAAATAGTCCGCGATTCATTTTTAGATAATTAAGTGAACTTTATTTATGAAGATTTTTATGCAACTTATACTTAATTCGAGCGTAAACTAAATAACAGAAACTTCTTCAATTAATCAATCAATTATCTTTGAATCCAAATTACAAAGCAAAGAAAGAGAGACCAAAGATTTCTCAATCCAGCCAAATGATTACATGAATTGAAACAGATTACTTCTTAAAAGAAAATCATACCATGGATATAGCAGAGCTACGAGAGATAAGCACAGGAGTTGTCAACTGGTTATCTAGAGAGAGTAGGCAAATTGTTATCTTGAGAGTTTTCAAGTGATTTTTAAGACGTTGCGTCTGATTTTGGAGAGAGAGTCCTCTTCTTCTGAAGTAGACCTTCTCTATTTATAGAGGTGGGGGAAGCCTGTAATGATGGAAATTGGAACAAGACGTTTGGCTTGTGGTTCAAGGTCAGCTACTGGTTTGTTGATCTTAACCGATTTATAGAGGAAACGATAAAAGGCTTCTGGCAATAACCGTCAGTTTTCCTTGTGAAGCTCTTTTGATTTGACTCCTTCATACTTGAAGACTTGGCTGACAATTTGATCCTTATCTGGTTTTGGAGGCTTCTGTACGGCTTATTTTCTTGCTGGGAGAAGGAGGTCAAGTTGTCATTAAATGTGATAATCCCTTTCAGCCTCTCACGTGGGCTTAGAAAACATATTTACCGATTTTTTAACTTGTAGTGCGAAGGAAGGGTCTGATTTTTACAATTTGGGCATTCTTTTCAGATTTATTCAAAAAAGCTCGTTAGGAAAAGGATGATCTTTTAAGAAACGACGAATGTTAATGGACCTGGCCTTAATCTATAAAAATTCCTTTAACCGTTTAGACCATTTTTGGTCCATTTACCGAAATTGGATACAAACAATGTCCAACTTGGGATATCAACGTCGTCATCATCATCCTACAGCTACAAATTAGTGCCGTGGTTGAGCTGGGACGAGTGGCTCTTCGTCGACGAATCTCTCTTTTCGAAGTCACCTAATTCTGTGGCCTCCGCTTTAAGAAGAGTAAGAAATTCACAACTTTAGCACTATATCAGAAATTTCATGTTGTTGAACTCTTTCTCGAAAGAAAAAGAAAACTCTTTCGGCGTGCTCACTATGGAATTCTTAGCATGTTGTTGAATATGATTGAATCTTATTTATTTGTTCCTATAATTTGTAAACGGTGGAGGAAGTTATTTTTTTGAAGTGGGTTCTGCTTTAAATTGAATTTTCTGGTCGTTTCTGGAAATGTTATATATGTATTTCATCTCTGACTACTTGTTTAAAGATATCAGCATGGAGAAGCAGAGGATGTCTTCCTGTTGTAGTTGAAGTCACATCATCGATTATTGAAATTCAGCAAAAAGATCCTCACTTTAGGTACCTTTTACTGCCAAATTCTCTGAGCATGTTTGGATCAACTTCTTATGTCTTTCTGTTTTTTTTTCCTCCCCAGTGAGGGGCAGGGGCAGGGGCAGAGGCAGGGGATAATGCCAAATGTTCTTTGCTTTGCGGTTCTGTTTGTATTTTTATGTCATTTATCGCTTTAAATTCCAACCGAAGATAATGTAGTTGTCCTACTTTGGTAACAACTTCATGTATGTGTTTTGTGAATTATAGAAAGGACCAGTCAAATGATGCTTTGGATAATTGCAGAGGGGATCAATCAAGTGATGCTTCACTTTCAGACGAATGCTGGCCATGTTATATTGTATGGCAATAATGAGGTGTGGCTCCTTTCTCTTTTTGGTTCTTAAATCTCTCCGTTCTTTTATCGACTCCCTTATCATATTGTGTTGTATGGATGTATATGCTTAGTAGTACTACCATTGTAACCACAGTGCAATAATTTGTAGAAAAGGGTCCTTGATCAACTATAACGCTCAGTCAAAACACAAACACACACACAGCTGTTTGTGTCTGTCTGTCTGCCTATCTGTTTCTTTCTCTCTCTCTCTCTCTCTCTCTCTCTCTCTCTCTATGGTAGTTTGGAGTTGGTTTGAATGGCTGATCAAGAGGTAGACTACTTGTAAGATGCGTAGGGTAGTTGCATGATGTGCTGTATTTTGTGATGGTTACCTGTTCACCAATATCAAAATTTTGTTTTGATTGACTAAAATTTTTTAGGCCTTAGAAAGAGCTCCAGCAAGATATTAGGGATGCGTGATAGATGTATATGTTCTTAGTATTGGTAATTTGGAAGAAAATCCTTAAGTATCCAAAATTCTTGTCAGGAATTTTTCTTGATATGTGCATTCAGTGCTTAATATCTTCAAGCCAACAGAGAAATTAAGTGTTTGTGATTCATTGGCCATATGAAAATTGTACTTCATATACAAATATATATATATATATTTCTCTCAAAATTTTAGGGGAATGCTTAAGCTCATATATATATATATATATATATATATTTGCGTCCTGTTTATATGCGTCACATGTACTGCTACATATTCACAATCATTGTCTTTTATTTATTTGTTAAGGCTTGTGAATGGTGTTGTTGAGAAGACACGGAAGAAAGCTGAGGTTTCCATTGCTGTGGCTGCTGATGCAATTGGCATTCCATGCACACTGATTGATATTCGTCATGGTGAGCAACTCGGACTTTTAATTTGTATATTTATTGTTTGTTCATTGGTTCAGTGGTTAAGCTTTTGGGCTTTCCCCTAGTCTAGACTACCAGCCATGCTGCCATGCCCATTCGGCCGAAGAATACTCTCTGCTGGGCTTTGGGTATTCAAGTAATCCTTGGAACGCTTATGATACCCTGGATTGATCTTTGGTTTTTTTTCACTTGGTTATTGCTTAATTTTTAGAGGGTTCTCACCGTGAACTTCCCGCATTTGAGGTTGTACGTAGTGCTTCAGTTAAGGTATGCATCATGCTTGGTAATTCAAAATTTGTTCCGTCAGATTCTTCTAATGCTTACTCTTTATGACTAGATTTTATGTCCAACACATCTAGTTTATTCGATGATGAATAATTATAATAGGCTTCCTACTAAGACTTCGTTTGTGTTTGGGTTAACTGACTGTGGTGCTGCACAGAATGGTTGTTTTTTTTTTGAAAAGATTTCTGAGTTCTATTAAAAGTTGTTACAACTGGCTTTGGTTTTCCATTTCACTGCAAGAGACAATTTATGGAAGATATAACGTATTCATTTATTTAACTTGTGGAAAATTCTAAACTTTATAAGTCCCTAGTTTTATAAATGTAATATAATAATAGAGTTTATTATTATCAACAATTTATTTGTAACATCATATAAAGATATTATGCAAGAAACCTATATTTTCTGATAGGACGGATTCTTGTTTCCTGTTTTCCTAATCAGATCCATGAACACTTTTGTAAGTACACCAATACCTTTTATGACTGGCAGGCTCATAATGTGCATTTCACTTCTAACAAAATGATATTGTTAACTTGAAGTGTTTCTAGTTATCAAGTTTGTGGGGTAGAACTTTCAGATCATGGATACAGAAGATTAAACTAGTTTACGAGAACAAACTATTAAAGCTAGTCGTTATGGTTCTGACTTCATGAATATCAGCAAATATTACCAAGTTATTTTTTAGGATAAAAGTGGCCCTCCACATTTATCTTAATCCTTTATGGTTTGGAACATGGGATAACTACTATGAAACTTGTCACTGTATGGAATAATTAGATTGAACATGGCTCAACTGCAAGTTCATGTTGACTCATCTCTCCAGCTTCAACTAGCTTCTTATGTATATTTTGTTTTGCTTTAATTTAAGGCAATTTTTTTTTCCTCCTTTTCTTTATTTTTTGCTATACTTCAATGAATTATTTATTTCTCTCTATTGTTGTTCTGCACAAACATGCATTTACCAATTATATTTGCAAGCAACGACTCAATTTAAATTTGGGAAGTTAAACTATATCCATGGTTGGTGTTTTTAGGCCCTTGATTGGTTGAAGTACTATTACTGGGAGCCACAGAAGAAAGCAATTCCATTTCATGGCAATGAAACTGCTGGCATCAAAACTGAGATAAGGTCGAAATTCCATGAATTGGCCTTCTGCTTAAGAGTTAAGAACACTCCTCACTTGCGTTCTTCAAAAATGAAAGAAAAACGTGGTATGAAAATATTATTTCTTCACATTATGTTGATTATAGTGCCTAAAATCTTGTGATCTATAAGATATAATACTTTCCAATGATTTTACATGTAGTGCAATACACTGTTGCATCTATGACATATAGAATTTTCATGTGAATTGCAGCCGCATTTCGTAGGGTTTGCATTGTGTCATAATCGAACAATGAAATATATGCTTGTTGGAATTTCTGAAAATTTGATGTCTAGGAGATATTTCTTTTGTATCTGGCATGAGAACTTTGACACCCTTTCTTTTGTCAAGGAATAATCTAGGACCGTATATTCGGAGTTATTTTCTGCAGATGGAAAATCACTGCATATGAATGAATTAGGAAGCTATAATTTTCTATATGCTTAAATTCATGTTTATTTTAGCTACCTTTTGGAGAACATTCTATTTTTTTTTTTAATGGAATGAAAATAGAAATTATCATGGTATGTATTTCGGTCAGCAAACTATCTCGCAAACACATGGGAGAGTTAGAATTATGTTGTGTTCTAAGAAAAAGGAATTTACACAGCTAAGCTGCTGTAAAGACCTAATTGTCTACATATATCATGCATACAATGTATACTCTCTATTCAGACATGTACATATATTTCATATGTTAAGTTTTAGATTTGATTTAACATATTTTCTTTGAAGTAATGCTGCACCTACATATTTCTTTTTTAGGTTTTATATTTGAAAGTGTTTTACTCTGTGATATGTGAAACCACTTGTCTTGCCACTGGATTAGCATTTACTGGGCACTTGCTCCAGTAGGCATAAGTGATAGGGAATTGGATAGGTACTAGTCATAGAACAGAGTACATATCGAGAATCTCTTATAGTGTGAAAAAATAGAATTGCGTATCTGAACCTATTCCCCTCTTTCTTTTTAAGTTGTGGATGATGTAATGCCCCTATTTAAAACTTTGTTTGATGTTCCCTCTTGGCTACCTTTTTAGTAATTAGTCATTGCAAGCATTGTGAAGGATATACTTAATATATCACATTAATGAGCTAAGAATTGGGCTCCTTTACTTTGCCTTCTGAATTTAGAGGACCTGGTCTTTCACTGTTACTGCCAATCATAATTAGAATGTTTGAAAGCATGTATTAAAGAAAGTCACTTATCTTTAAAGAATAGCTGTCAACATTTGAAAGACAAATGGGGAGGAGCCCAAGCTGTGATCTAAAGTTTGAAGGATATGCTATTGCATGTCTTATTATTGATTAGAATGTTCAAAAACTGTTTCAGAGAAAGTCGCTTATTTTTATAGTATGCTCACATTCATCTTAAGCATGACTAGATGTCCATTTGAAGGGAAAATAGAGAGGATCTCAAGGTGTCAGCTAACTTTTGAATGATGTCTTTAACTACTTGGATGTTTTATATGTTGATTGAGGTACTTTCTTTTCAGGTTCTAAGAAAGACCTTACCAAGATATTGAAAAGCCTTGTAGGGTTGTATTCTGCCTTCTCCTCAGAAGTTGTTTCTGTACTGTTGGAGTTCTTGTTGAAGGCTATAAATTCCTCAGATTCCTCAGAGCTTCCAGTAAACACCCAAAATAGCCCAAGCCTACAAATTTCATTGAATGAGTGGAAGCTTGTGATAGCAAAATTTTCAAATAAGGAACCAGAGTTACTTCTGGCTCTTCTGAATGCAGTTCTTGATATGATTGAGAATCAGGAAGCAGTGATATATGAGACGGGTAATCACATGACCTGATTTTTCTTTGTATTAGTTGCTCGGTATTCAGATATATACTGGTAGAACTTATGGTGAGTCTGTGCATGAAATCTAATCATATTTACTTGGTTTCAACTGGACTGCTTTTATAAATGGACACGGATAAGTGGTCTAGTCTGCAATAACAACCAGACAGTCTGATTTCTGAGTTCAGAGAGTTTTGGGATTTGCATGAAATAGTTTGAGTGCTGTGATATATTTCTTGTGCCTATCCATATTGCATATTTCAATTCCTATATTTTATTTGGTCGCAACTAAAGTATTTTAGGTGGGAAAAGTATTTGGTTACGAAGCTCTAAAGTAAAAGATGCTGAATTAGTCCAAATGAAAATCAATATTGATTTAGGTTGGGTTTGCACATCATCAGACCATAGGGCAGAAACACTCCAAGTTGAACACCTCTCTTCTCTGTTTAAGTGGCTGGTCAAAATTTTTAAGGATTAAAGCCTCATGTTGAAAAAGATTCTGTAGCTGAGATCAAAGTTTCTTCAGGAGAAAAAATAATATCGAAAGCAATTCTGATGGAACTCCTACGTAAATGTCTTGTTCTATCAGCCTCTGCTAATAACCAGCTCATGGATTCTGCTGTCCATCTTGCTCAACTGACGGGACAACTACCTATTGGGAAAACTGAACAAACTGTCTTCATTAGTTTCATCAAATTCGGATGTTACTGAAGAAGATGATTCTCTTAGACATTCAAATAATGTATTTGAGAAGAAAGACGAATCTATGAGTGAAGCAGCAAAGAAGCTTGAGATGATTAAACTGTGAAGAATTAAGAACAGAGTAAAAGAAAGGTTGGAATTGTATATTTCATTGATACTTGTACAGTGAGAGTACCACTGTTTATATACACTTGAAAAGAATAATCTGGAATAGAATTGGTTACAAAGAATATGGAGATGATGACAGGTGTAGGATGGATATATGACTAGTAAGTTCCTTCTCTTCTAGAATATTGCTGAGCTGGAGATTGTATGCATTGGATTTGCTGTGTATTTGCACCTATGATTGTGTACTCTGTTTATCATGTAGTGGTGGTATAGGGCGAGCTGGTCTTGCTCGATTTCATTAGCCGTTTGTACACATCACAACGTAGCAAAGAGGAGACTGAACCAGAAAAAGGAAACTTGCCCAAAACTTGCCTCCTTATTCAAAC